TAGTGTTTAATTGAGCGATCATTCGCCTGTCAGGTTATGCATGCTTATTGGCAGAACGCCGAGTCAATCGATGCCACGCCTTCTTGTCACTTCCTGCTGATGGAACTCGCTTAGAACTTTGAAAACAGACTCTGTTCATCGGGAACCTAAATGACCTGTGCTTAACAATGAAGGACTGATAAGGTTATGATCCTCACAATGCTCATCCCCCTTCTGGCTTTCGCGACATGAGAAGGTGAAAGAAGGTTGTTGAACGATGTAGTACACAGTCACTCAATAAAGCTATCTTCCCTTCCGGTTAATTACAGGTTAAGGGCAGTGCACGGTAGGGTCCTTGACACACACCCAGTCATCTGGTCCAAAGACTTTGAGGGAACATGGATGATCAGCTCCGAATAGCGTACGGAGAAAGATATCAAAACGACGAACCTGGATTCGCACAATCACACAGTAATCCATCAATACAAGCGGCGTCTCCGGTAGCACGATCCTCTGGCCAATTCGTCCCTCCACCTATCAGCACAACCCGCCAAAAGATCCATGATAAGCATAGAGAAAAACCTATATGAGGTTTCTCAGATACGAGGCCTACTCACAAAGAACATGAAGAGGCATCCCAGCTCGAACCACGAGCAAAAAGCTCAAAGAGGTAATAATTGTAAAAACCTTCATGTTGGCTCGGATGGAGAACAAGTTGGGAAAGTAGGGGATTTAGGAGGGTGAGATATTCTAATCCTTTGCCTGGCTTAAATAGCCGGACGTCCTCTAGGATTCAATATGCAGGACGGTATAATTCAAGTGTGGACTTCCTTACTTGCGCATCAACAGATGCCAAAGTTCTTCCGTTGAGTTGACACCACTACAAGCTCATTGGTAGGTGTGTATTTTTGGATCATTCTCACTGATTGTGCATATATTTCCAGATGCCGAAAGCTGTCCTCGTCCAAGGGACTGAATGAGCTAGCTTACGCCTTGGAAGAAGGCTTGATAAGAGAAATTACAATGATAATTGAACAGTTAAAGTCTCGTATGATCATTTCTAGATCACGGGCAGTGGACGGCAGCAGTTGGACGGCAGACCCAATTATCTATTCCCAAATTTTTGTGGATACGTGGGCCATCAGCGATAGATCCCACGGGAAAATATGGCTATCATGGCATACCTGGATTAGAGCAGTCACATTGGTATG